ATTGCATGTCAGCTGGTCTGTCCTGTAAGTCTGTCTTTGGCCTCATTGGCTAGAGGAGACTTAGTCTCAGAAAGGGTAGTCACCTGCCCAAGGTCTCATAAGTTGTTACCACTTGGAGGAGTCAGGACTCACACCCAGGCCTGGTGACGCCAGAGACGTACTCTATCAGTAGCATGAGGCCGAGGAAAGAGCTTGTCTCCTTGAGGGACTGATGGGTTGGTTGGCTGGAGTGTGGCATACTTAGGAGGAAAGAGGCAGAAATGAGTTAAAAAATGGAGACTAAGGCCAGTTGGTAGGGTGTTAAGTTTGAGAATATGAACGAGGGTTTTTGTAAGTAGATATGAAAGCTCAGGTTTATCTTTAAGGAAGAGAATTCTGGTCACCTTGTTTGGCTGGGAGGGAGCTGAGTAAGATTGTGAGCAGGATTGTATTAAGATATTTATCCTCACTACACTTAGATGTGCAAACGTTTTTTTTTTCCCAAAAATTTGAGCCAACTTTTTCATTAAGACCCCATCCATAGTTAATAAGTGGAGAAAAAAGCAGCTGCTGAGAATAGTAAATTTAGTCTGCTCCAGTCATGTAAAAAGTTCAGTTCAGTTCAGTCGCTCAGTCGTGTCCAACTCTTTGCAGCCCTGTGGACTGCAGCACGCAGGCCTCCCAGTTCATCACCAATTCCTGTAGTTTACTCAAACTCATGTCCGTTAAGTCGGTGATGCCACCCAACCATCTCATCCTCTGTCGTCCCATACTCCTTCAATCTTCCTCAGCATCAGGTTCTTTTCTAATGAGTCAGCTCCTTGCATCACGTGGCCAAAGTATTGGAGTTTCAGCTTCAACATCAGTCCTTCCGGTGAATATTCAGGACTGATTTCCTGTAGGATGGACTGGTTGGATCTCCTTGCTGTCCATGGGACTCTCAAGAGTCTTCTCCAACACCACAGTTCAAAAGCATCAATTCTTCAATGCTCAGCTTTCTTTATAGTTCAACTCTCACATCCATACATGACTACTGGAAAAACCATAGCCTTGACTAGACGGACCTTTGTTGGCAAAGTAGTGTCTCTGCTTTTTAATATGCTTTCTAGGTTGGTCATAACTTTTCTTCCAAGATGTAAGCATCTTTTAATTTCATGGCTGCAGTCACCATCTTCAGTGATTTTCAAGCCCCCCAAAATAAACTCTCTCACTGTTTCTATTGTTTCCCCATCTATTTGCCATGAAGTGATGGGACTGGATGCCATGATCCTAGTTTTCTGAATGTTGAGCTTCAAGCCAGCTTTTTCACTTTCCTCTTTCACTTTCATCAAGAGGCTCTTTAGTTCTTCTTCACTTTCTGCATATCTGAGGTTATTGATATTGCATATCTGATAATACAACCTCAGATAAACACTTTCTGTGTCATCTGTATATCTGAGGTTATTTATATTTCTCCCAGGAATCTTGATTCCAGCTTGTGCTTCATCCAGCCCAGCGTTTCTCATGATGTACTCTGTATATAAGTTAAATAAGCACGGTGACAATATACAGCCTTGACATACTCCTTTTCCTATTTGGAACCAGTCTGTTGTTCCATGTCCAGTTCTAACTGTTGCTTCTTGACCTGCATACAGATTTCTCAGGAGGCAGGTCAGGTGGTCTGGTATTCCCATCTCTTTCAGAATTTTCCACAGTTTGTTGTGATCCACACAATCAAAGTCTTTGGCATAGTCAATAATGCAGAAATAGATGTTTTTCTGGAACTCTCTTGCTTTTTCGATGATCCAGTGGATGTTGGCAATTTGATCTCTGGTTCCTCTGCCTTTTCTAAAACCAGCTTGACCATCTGGAAGTTCATGGTTCACGTACTGTTGAAGCCTGGCTTGGAGAATTTTGAGCATTATTTTGCTAGTTTGTGAGATGAGTGCAATTGTGCGATAGTTTGAGCATTCTTTGGCATTGCCTTTCTATGGGATTGGAATGAAAACTGACTTTTTCCAGTCCCGAGGCTGCTGCTGAGTTTTCCAAATTTGCTGGCATATTGAGTGCAGCACTTTCACAGCATTATCTTATTAGGATTTGAAATAGCTCACTTGGAACTCTTTTACCTCCACTAGTTTTGTTTGTAGTGATGCTTCCTAAGGCCCACTTGACTTTGCATTCCAGGATGTCTGGCTCTGGGTGCGTGATCACACCATCGTGATTATCTGGGTCATGAAGATCTTTTATGTATAGTTCTTCTATGTATTCTTGCCACCTCTGCTTAATATTTTCTGCTTCTGTTAGGTCCATACCATTTGTGTCCTTTATTGAGCCCATCTTTGCATGAAATGTTCCTTTGGTATCTCTAATTTTCTTGAAGAGATCTCTAGTCTTTCCCATTCTATTGTTTTCTTCTATTTCTTTGCATTGATCACTGAGGAAGGCTTTCTTATCTCTCCTTGCTATTCTTTGGAACTCTGCATTCAAATGGGTATATCTTTCCTTTTCTTCTTTGCTTTTCGCTTCTCTTCTTTTCACAGCTATTTGTAAGGCCTCCTCAGACAGCCATTTTGCTTTTTTGCATTTCTTTTTCCTGGGGTGGTCTTGATCCCTGTCTCCTGTACAATGTCATGAACTTCAGTCCATAGTTCATCAGCACTCTGTCTATCAGGTCTAGTGCCTTAAATCTATTTCTCACTTCCACTGTATAATCATTAGGGATTTGATTTAGATCCTACCTGAATGGTCTAGTGGTTTTCCCTACTTTCTTCAATTTAAGTAAAAAGTAATTCATTCTTTCTTCTGTGCCTCCCTAAGATAGTATCTCAGTATGGGGGGCTCCCTGTCCTTGAGATTGCGTGGATGTTTATCAGTCGTTGGGGGGTGGTCCTTGCTGGTGCTGACAGGGGTCTGGCATTTATTCTAGTTCTGCCTTGATCATCTGATGTTGAAGTGTGTGGCTGCTGCCACTTGTGGTCCAGGCTCTCTCAGGTCAGTTGGGACTCAGGTGTCTGTTTTGTCCATCGTAAACTGAATTCATATCAGAGCAAGACCAGAACACACAAAGAAGGCTTTTTGATGAATAGTTAGGCTGAATAATTTGCAGGTACATGTAGAGATAGTGTTTTGATTATTTGAATTTGTTAAGTGAACTCCTGGAAATGTAACCTGTACTCTCAAAACTCTTTCTATCATTGGCGTGCCTGAGACATGGTCTAACCTTTGGATGTACTTCTGCTAATGTAATTACCTTGCTGTCTTTTAAAGGTGGGTTTTAATTGGGTTCCCAAGCAGCAGCTGCTGTTGAGGTGCTAGTTGCAGCCTTTCAATAACAGGTTCATTGTTTCCTCTTCCCGGACTGGACATCTGGCCTTGGATGATAGCCAGCTGTTGCTGAAATGCCATCACTTATAGGATTGCCCTTTAAACCACTGATTTGTTATTTTGTTGACTTTCAATTCCTTTCCTCTCAAATTTAACTGGAGCTTTATTGAATACAGTGCTAAACTCAATTCTTCCCCTTCTCAGTGGCCTTTTCATCAGGTTATTTCCCTCTAGTTCATAGCATTTAGTCCTCTGGCTGGACAAGAGGTTTAAGAATTAAAGACAGCTTGTCATTTATGGGCTCAGGCCTGTCTGTGGGGTAGTGCAGTGGATTCTGTCACAGGCAAGTCTTCTGATGATGTATGACGAGGTAACACAAGAAGTCTCTTGGCAAGTTTTTGCCTTTTTTGTAAAATTGTGCTGAAAATTCTAGGGTTTTTAAGAATTTATCTCCAGGATTGTTGTCCTGAAGGATTTTTGAAATTATAGTATAAATGGTTTATGATATTATATTGGTTTCAAGTTAAAAAATAGTGATTGAGTGTTATTATAGATTAAAAGCTTTTGTCCTGAGTATTTTTAATTTGTTTGAAGAAAATGATCCTGTAATGATCATATTGAATAAAGAGAAGTTTGCAGGGGCTGGTAAGGTGGGACAACAGAAAGAACTTGGGTTTTATCTTTGGTTTTTAATCTCAGAGCAGCGGGGTGGGACTGGTCATTTTCAGGCCCCAGGATGAAACTGTGGGCAGGCCCAGTATATTTTCTGATCATTCTCATATAATAAAAAGTTTTCCAGTCATATTTCCTTCCCAGACAGTCTCAACTTGGTAATTAATACATCTCGCCTCAGACAGACTGATTTAAAGTGACACCTTCCCCTGTCCCTGACTCAGATTCTAGGTTCACTTCGTCAAATTCCACCCAAAGAAAACCTATTGGTAATTTTATTAGAATATATTGAAATTACAGATTAATTTTTTCTTTAGAGGTGATAAGCTTATTTTCTTAGGTCCTTCGACTGTTTATATTTCTTTGCTATTGCAAATGCTGTGTTTTCAAAATTAAGTTTCTTATTTGTTGATATTATACCAAAGTGCAATACATTTTGTAAATTGATTTTGTATCCAGTAATTTTGAGGGATGTTCTTATTTTAATAGCGTTTCCGTGGATTTTTAGTATAGGCACTTACATCATCTGTGCAAAATGATTTCCCCCTCTTCCTTTCCATTTCTTTTTTTCCTTTATTTTTCTATGTTGCCCTCCAGACAGAATTGGTATTTAGAAGTGGTGATAGTTGCCATTTTTCTTATTCTTGATTTAAGAAGGGCTGCTTGTAATAATGTACCATTAGTTGAATTGTGTATAGTAAGGTTTTGGTAGAAATCCCTCACTAGGTTCAGAAATTTCACTTTCGAGTTTACAAAGAATTTTAATCATGTGTTTGTATAGAATTTTACCAAATACCTTTTCTGTGCGTGAGATACTGTAAGTTGAATCTTACTGAGGAACATCAAGATGCAATCTATGGTGTCTTCTAGGTGCAAAGTCGTTGCCAAGTAGACTGGGAGTGTTATTGCATTTTGAAATATGGTTTACATAATGCTGATGCATTTTGTAAGCATAGTATATGTTTTGTAGGGAAATACTGTGTTGTTATGCTATTATGCTTCAAAAATAAAATGCAACTTTGTTTTTTTTTTTTTCTTTCCAGTATTACTTTACTGTCCTTTTTGGCCACGAAGGTCAGAAACCACTAGAGCTGCGCTGTGAGGAGGAGCAGGATGGTAAAGAGTGGATGGAGGCCATTCACCAAGCCAGGTATGGGAGCCACTGGATTGTCCGGGTCTTGCATTGAGGTCTCACCATTGGTACTAGTTTTGGGTGAACTTGCAATCCCAAGTTGAATTTCCCCTTAATATCTCCCCCTTAGTCGTGTGTGAGATGATTCTTTGCACTTTCTGTGGCTGTATTCTAGCTGAAGATTAAAGGTAATGGATACAGCAATAGTAATGATTACTGAAGACAGGGTTGGGGCCTATGTGCCAGGCTCTGTTATAAGTGCCTCTCAATGAAGGAATCGGTTAAATGCTTGGATTCACTCATCCTCTCAACAGTCTGTGAGAGGCATGTCATGGCTAACCCCTCTTTTACAGATAAGGAAATCAAGGCCCGGAGAGTTAGTTTGCGTGCCTGAGGCCTCACAGCTCGCGAGTGGCGGCGCTGGGATACAGACCCAGCCGAGCCTCCACTTGGAAACGCTGCCCTGTGCAGCCTGGTTATGGAGAAGGGGCGACGCCAGCTGCCATCTGGGGGGATAGAAGAGTGTGCTTTTGCTTTCTCCTAAGAAATACCGGAAAGGTAGACATGAGCACACTTGGCCTCAAACGGCAATGAGAAATCCAAAAGAGACACAGGCAGACCTCTCTCTTTTATTTTTCTTATTCAGTTCCAAAGTCCTGTCCGTTTTTGCTTTGAATGGCCCTTGTGCTCACTGCTTTTTGCCTGTCCCCAGCGTGACTCCCTGCTTCAAGTTTCAGGGCGAAAGTCAGTCTGGGACACATGACTTTTTCTTTGCCGGACATGACCCCCCTCCTTCTCCTATAAGTCCATTCACATCTGTGTCTGTCCCTACCACCCACTCGCACACCCTTTCCCCACAAGCCAGCGCTCACTGGGCACCTTCTACAAATGACCACAGTGCTTGCTTTATTACATGTGGAATATTTAACAACTTAGTACAATGTGGGTTATTTTTCACATATGTCACATGTGTGATTTCTGTTTCCTGAGCTGGACTGTAGACACCATGAGAGGAGGATGGGGACACATTCATTTCTGAATGAAGCACAGTGCTGATTATGGAGTAGGTCATCAGGAAATATTTTCACACTGATTATAAAGAATTTAAGGTGCTGTCCTGAGTGAGTGTAGGCTGTTCTTTGAACCCTGAAGGCTTTTTTTGCCCCTTCTCCCCTCCTCTTCCTTCCCTTTCCCTCCTTTCATCCCCTTCCCCTCTTCTTTCTTCAGCTACTATATAATGTTGACTACTTGCCCTGGGGCAGGCAGCATGCTAAGTGCTCTACATATTTATCTTAAAAAAAAAAAAAAGTCCTCCCAGCTACCAGTAGGGTATTATTAACTCTGTTTTACAGATGAGAAGACAAAGATTCATGATGATTAAGATATTGGCCAAGGTGTAAAAAGCTGGTTAAAATGAAGAGGGAAGGGCTGGGACTCGACTCAAGCTCAGGTCCCTCTGACTCCACAACCTTTAACCAATGTTCTATATTGTATTTGTCTTCGTTATTGTCTCTTTGTCTCTTCCTCTAGTTCAAAGATGAAAGTGTATTAATGCCAGGTTAGGATTGAGAGTAGATGTTACTTGCAAAAGATTTCAGTTCCTTTTCTTTCCTTCCCTTCAATTTCTCTGAAATGCGCATGGTTGGAGACCAAATGCTGTTCACCAAGGGGGACCCCGAGGCAGCTTGCTAACATCAGGATCCAGGCACACTGCTCAGCCATCTTCACTCTCAGGGTCTCTGTCTGACGGTTTTGCTCCAGACTTAAGGCTAATGCAGACTGACTCGCTGTAGAAAGAAAGTCAGGTTTTCAAAGGTGAAAGAAGTATCAAGTTGGCAAGGTAGAACCCTTGGGTCATTTCCAGACTCAGTCTTTGTGACCACTTCTGTTCCTTTCTACCTGGGAGTTAAAATAAAGTAAATAATTTAAAACACATGTATTTGCCCATTTTTTTTATCTTTCCAGAAGAACCGAGTACCATTAGCAGCCTAAATTCCTTTGTAGTTGCCAAGCAAACATTGTGGTGAACCAAACAGAGTATGAATTACTTTAAAGTGGTAAAATTTCAAGTAAGAGGTTTTTTTGGTATACCAGGAAAACTTGGTCATATATGTGTAAGTAGGTCAGTAGCTATTTGATGTTGACTGCCATATGATCAATCCAGGGCTTACATGATTTTGTCAGGAAGCGTAGATTTTAGAAACCACTTTAGTGGTTTAGTTAATCCAATGGTAAAAATTTTCTTCTCTTTTAGATGTGAAGATTTGGTTATTAATTGATCATTTTTCTTGGCGTCCTGACTTTTGGTCCATTAGATTTGCTTTTCCTTTGATTTGAGGTCCAGGACTCCATTATTTGATGACTTCCTTTTAATTTGACTGCTTTACACCTGACTTTTTATAGTTAACTTTTTGCATTGAGATGCTTCTTAAATTCTTGCTTTCTAAATCACAGAAGATAATAACTTTTTCATTTACATTTCATTAAGTCAAGTTTTTGGTGTAAACTTGGGTCTGTGAAATTCATCCTGACTTTGTTTGTGAATGAGCAGAGCCAGAAAGTTAATGAGGCTGATTCAGAGAAAGAATTTGTCAGCCCTTTTTGCTGGGCATTGTGCTAATTAAACAACTGGTTGGTAACTAAACATTTCACCTTTAGAGGACAGCCTGATGGCATTACTTTGGTATTACTGCCTTTTTAACAGCAGATGCTCAATAATTATGGTTTTATTGATCCCTCTTTTTAAGTATGAGCTTTTGATGAACTGATGAGTATTTTAGCCTGGGACTAGTTCTTTTCTGAGCTCCAGATCCTTCTGTAGGTACTACACAGAAACAGGGACTGCTGAGAATCCTTCTCTTGATCACTGCTCCTCTTTTCCTGGGGTGTTTATCAGTACTGGCCTGGGTGTTCTATCTTTGGGGTGTCATGAGAATCACATTCTTAAGGCTGGCTTTTGTACTTCCGAGCTGGATTGACTTGATTTGCTTTCAGAGGATCTTTAGGTCCTTTCCTGTCATGTTCAGTTGCATGTTTTCTTCCTTAGATCTGGCCCAGGAAGACATCTTTTTGGAAATTGATATTCTCATTTTGAAGCTTTGACATTGTCCAGGAAGCTTGTTTTACAGTTTTGCTCAAAGTTGGTCGATATTACATTTCTAGAAATTGGCACATTTAAAATATCATTTTGCCATGTATTACTGGCATTGGTTCACGGGAAGGTGATAGCAAGGCTTAGTCTTGTTTTTGTTGAGATGAGGTGAAGCCAGAGTATTTTAATAGTAATGAAGTTTGTGCTTGTTCTAGAAATGGTTTACTATTTAGGTATTGGAGGTTTAGACATTTCCAGTAACTTGGTATTTCTTTGTTCTCTTAGCCACATTTGTCCACCATGGTTGATTCAGTTGTAGACATTGTTGTAGTTGTTGTTCAGTCGCTCAGTTGTATCTGACTCATTGCAACCCCATGGACTGCCGCACGCCAGGCTTCCCTGTCCTTCACCAGCTCCCGGAGCTTGCTCAAACTCACGTCCATTGAGTCAGTGATGCCATCCAACTAACTCATCCTCTGTTGTCCCCTTCTCTTCCTGCCTTCAATTTTCTCCAGCATCAGGGTCTTTTCTAATGAGTCAACTCTTTGCATCAGGTGGCCAAAGTATTGGAGTTTCAGCTTCAACATCAGTCCTTTCAATGAATATTCAGGATTGATTTCCTTTAGGATTGACTACTTTGATCTCCTTGCAGTCCCAGGAACTCTCAAGAGTCTTCTCCAACACCACAGTTCAAAAGCATCAATTTTTCAGCACTCAGTCTTCTTTATGGTAGACATTATGATAATCAAAAGCACTGATCCAGTTGATTGCGGGTCTTTAGGGCTCATTGGCTGACATGACAATGTCCACAGCTCTTTTTCTCCGAGTTTCATCTGCTGGAGCCCTGAGCAAACAGAACCTCGGAAGTTAGAAGGTAGTCATGTCCTGGAAGAGGATCCAGTTGAACCAGAGGTACCAAGGCTTTTCCCATTGTGATCTAAGCATAAAACCTGAAGGACCTGGTTGATGACAGTTGGGGAAAGAGGTAGGTGGAAAGTATTTCAGAGTTGTAGTGGGTAGATGTCTAAGGATCTTGTGCCCACCTAGAAATGGACAGCGTTGGACCAGGGTGGCATCTAACCTAACTCTTGGATCCCTAGCTTGGATGGTGTCACTCCCTGAGAGGGGATATGATGACTGAGAGGAGGACTGTGGGGCAGGATGACAAGTGCTGGCCAGGAAGGGCTTCTGCAGGGGACTGTGGGGTATGAATGCCTGGAAGGGGCGGTAGGGAACCGGGCAATACAGGTGGGTCTCCTTGCACATTGGTATGTCAGGTATGGGAGAATGAGCATCAAGGGCTCCTAGAGAAGTCAGGTGTGTCCTGAGGGGAGAGCTGGCTCTGGGTTTCTACCAAGTCTGAGGTCAGGGGAGGGCTTGTGAAACATCAGAGGCGTGGAGAACATGGTGCCTGGTATTGCACACCATGGGGTGTGTGTGGCTTTGCCCACCTGCAGAGCTCTTGCTTATGCTCTCATTGTTTGAGACAGTCCTGCTATCTTTTGCCTGCTTTGCCTCCAGCTTCTGCAGCTAAAACTCCACACCCTCCCTCGGTGCTGTTTCCTCCCTTTTGTGTGTGCCTATGGCAGGTGGCCCTTAGGTTTTCCTTCATGGGGAAGGTATTTGCAAGAGAAAAAGGAACTGAGCATGTGACTCCGTCCCATAAAGCTCACGTCAGGTTTTGTTTGGCTAGGGCTTGACGCAGCCCTTTCCTTCACCCTGTCAGTTCTGAACTTGATGAGTGGAGAAACTTAATCCTCCAGTTAAGATTTTCAGTTAAACCTTGTCTCTTGTCCACTAAAGAAAGCTCTAATCCAGCTTCTTGGGTCTGTTTTTATCTATAGTCCTTTTGATTGCATGTGCCTGAGGCAGCCTGTTGTTCATATTCTCTATCTCTTCACCTCTCCCTCTAAAACACACACACACC